AAGCGATTTAAACGTGAACGGTTAGAGCTAGAGTGGATGTGAAAACAGCATCATCTAGCTGAAGGATGAGCGCACAGCTTTTCCTCGGGGCAGTCATTAAAGTAACCTACGCGTTTCGAAGATATGACGTGAGACACTTAAAATTGAACAAGTCGAAATCAAAATTTTCTGTTCAACTCCAGTTTTCGGTTAGAAGAGCAGTTTTCGCTTGCATTTTGATGGTTGGGGCGTGTTCCCTGGTTCTTTCCACACATTTTGACACATAACTCACCTCTCTCGCACGAATAGTTTTGGAGCTATGGTCGTTACAGCGCAACCCTGCATTTAGGCCCTTTTTGTTCAACAACTCGAGATCCCCACGTCCGAGTTTAGGGAACTTTGTGGGAGCGTGATCAGCACATCAAACTGCACCAGAAACAGTTTTCAGACCTTTTGTGCATTTTTTTCCCCGGTCCAAACCTAGGGCTCCTGAACTAAAGGGGGTGCGGGTGCGGACCGGCTGCGCCGCGCACGCACACGACGGGCACCCCGTTTCCCGGCGCCAGCGCTGGCCTGTGGCCCTGGACTCCAGGTCCGACTCTTTGACGGGAAGCTCGCGCGCCGCGCGCCTGCCCTTGCCCCTCGCCTGTGCGGAACACCATGCAGTAACTTATAAGAAAACTAACCTCCTGAGTTAGATCCAGATGTTGAGTTCCCTGAGGGTGGCACCATGGTCTTTGAGTCTTCTAGAAGAAGCGCTTTTGCGTGATCACGGTCCTCCTCAAGTATCTCATCTCTGAATCGCGGGTCAAGGAAAGAGCACCTAGCAAGCACGCCGTAGCACTCCCTTGCTGACACATAATCAACGTCGCGGTGGTTGTCCTCCGGATCTGATTTGAATCTTTTCTTGAGGAACTTAACCACACTTTTTTGGACATTTGTGGGAATCATCTCTGGGTTGGCAGACAGGGGTATATCATCATTAGCCGCTTCCTGGAAAGATAAACGTAGTGTAACAATAATTCTGAGAAATTTTTAACATTACATTTCTAAAAACTAAAAAAATTGTGTTTCAAGTCTTTTTACAGGGTTTGGCTCGCCTAAGTTAAGAAGATCATCCCGTCCATAGAGAGGGCTGTCGGGATCTAGGAGGTACAGCATTGGGAGTATGTAACTGCAAGTGGCGTACTTTTCTCCACCTAGTAAAGTGCAAATTTTTTCCACTGGTTTCATAGCTTTGATGTAGGCCTTCAGCACATTGATGACGTCAGCTTCGGGCACGTTTTTCAGTAACCTTCCCCTCTCACATGTCATTCCAAAGTCCCAGATCCATTGATACTGTGACACTACTCTCTCAGCCATGTGGAGATCAACCCACCACCGGGTTTTGCACGGTGAAGGGATTCTGTTTGGTGTTTGATTATACGTCTCCTTCACATACTCCACGTAGTGCCGCCACACTTTGTCTGATGCAAACCAGTTGCGCACCTCATGTGTCTTACGAATGGCTTGCTTCAAAACTTTGCATTTAGCAACAAACGTTGTGATACCGTTGTTCACGGTCCCTGGTCCCTGTTCTGTTAGGGCGGGTCGTTCGGCTCGTTCGGGAGTTGCTCGACATTCTCCTCGCTGTCTGTCTCTGTCTGGACTCGCGATTCAATTGAATGTCAATATGAATGGGACGCCTGCACCTAACCTTTCTTTAGGCAACCAAAAGAGCTGGAGTATTTTCGTTTGTCTGACTCGAGTTGGCAATAATGTCGTGTGATACAGTAATTTACAATGAAGTGAGATCAGAAAGACATTGTGCATACTACTTTGAGAGTGGGTATCACTCGGGTGTGAAAATAAGTGTACCTGATTGCTTTCCCGGTTTTTGTAACCCACAAGAGTTAAATTGGTTGTTTCCTGATAATCTAAAAATGTTGAAAGATCAACATCACACATGCAAACACTCTTATTTTTGAAATTATTTGATAGTATGTGAGTTGTTGGTGAGTTATTTGTTCAAATTCATAAATGAAATCACTGTCAAAAAATTTGAATGTGTTAATTTAGTCTGCTGACAATCTGTATTTTCTTATTCAGAACTGCAAATTGATTGACCCCTTGGTGAAGAAAATAATATTCAAAACCAAAAATGTGAAACAGTTGAGTGAAGACACTCAACAGAATGTGGTCTGAAGTTAACAATATGCATAGAGCGCCCCACGTTCATCCGGGAAATAAAAACCTGTAAGCTCGAATGTTTGATTTTAGTTATATTCTTTAGACTATGATTACCATTTTACTTTTCATACCTTTTTAAGTATTCCTTTTTGTAATGTACAGAAACTTAAAGAGGCAAGCAATGAGTAGTAGTATGTCACATTTTTGGACTTATCTCTCAGAGATAGATGGCCACGGAATAAGGAAGACGATTCTTAGGTAAGTTCTGAGTAAGCTGTTTCTTAATCGACCACCAATTGAATCATATTACAAGAAGTAATGAGGACTCAGATTTTTATTTAAGTATGTTTTACATAAATCAATTTTCTTCCAGAAGCATGCATTGTGGTAGAAACAATCGATTTAATGTTATCTGTAGACTATTCATCAATTAAGAAGTAACGTAACCAGGACATACAGTATGGTGTTTGAAAGTAATTTTCTTCTCTTAACAACTCTTGATCTTGTTTATATTACATTTTTTTCCTGAAACAAGAAGTTCTAATTGTAAACAAGAAATCCATCCATATGTTTCACTTTAAAGAGAGATTTTCTTTTTTATATTTACCTCTTTGGTTCTACATCTAGGTTTTTCATGCTGGTTATAAGGTCTTGCTGGACTCGTATCTCCTCTTTCAGACTCTCTATCTCACAGGAGTTACAATGCTTTTCTGGCTCAGCAGCTTGCAGAAATTGTGTCGCTGCTCTCTTTACCAAAATGTGGCCACCAGGAACTTTTTGAAGTGCACTTCGGTATACAGCACAGTGCCATTCCAAAATGCTTTATATGGTAAAGCAATTCTTTAGCATCTGGCTCTTCGGATGCTGATGATGAAGTACTCTGAAACACAATAAGGTATTTTTAATTCTTTTTTGTTGTTGCATCTTATCAACGTATTTAATGTATATTAATCATTTTAAACTAATATAGCCTTGGAAAACACCATGGATACGTGCTTTGCTCAAAAGAGATGTATTCTGGCCAAAAGATGTCATACATTTTACAACATTAACAGGTAAAGTGAAATCATATTTTGTTTTGATTAATAATTTACTGCAGATTTTTCTGATCACTTGTAACTCTTTTGAAACAGAAACAAAGTAGTTTAGTTTTCAAATCATAGCTTGGATTTGATTGATAAGATCTTTACAAATATTTATCTTCCCAGACAATTAAAAAAAAAAAAAAGATTGAAACTGACTTATTGATCAAAACATTGCGCAAGTTAAGTTAATACAGGTTAAGATTTAGAGGTGTGAGATTCATTCAAACGCAAACGAGGGTTACATTTTCCCTCAATATTATCGCAATAAGACTGCTGGTGCCAGAACAGAACACAATTTGATCTCTATAGAGTTACCTTCGGATCAAGATATTTTTCGGATTCTTCAGAAGGCACTAGATGAAGCCAATTCAATTGCTATGTGGATGGAGATGGACGTAGCCGAAGATCTTAAAAGTCCCTCCCTTTCAACGGTGACAATAGTTGAAAAATGCTATGATGAATCAGAAATTCCATACCAGGACCCCTCACCAATTTTAACAGAAGTGTCTGAAGATCTAGGCAATATTTTATTAACAGAAGAAGAAAGTGAAAACCATATTCCAGAAGATTCCAGCTACGTTCTGCATAGGGATTCCGATCAAAAATTAAGGAAAATAAGAAAGTCAACATTGTGCTGGCTGCTGTCCACAGAAGGCACAAAACTTAGCAGCGACAGGCTGCAGAGAGTAAAATGCAACGTAAATAATCAAAAACCCATGTTTAACCATTGTGAAAATGTTCAAGTTCTGGTAGAGGATACAATTAGCCGGGGCGCGTGGTGTGCGTTTCAGGACGTAGTTGAGCATGACGCAGTATCCATAGGACAAGTTGTCGAGTTCTCTTATTAGACGGGAACCGCCGCTCAAAGAAGATATACCCTTGCGTTTGCCCCCACGCAACCGCCACCAAATGCTGATAAAGGGTTTAGGCTGCTACTGCATTTGGTACAAATGCTCAAAAGACGGTATTCTAAAAGTTTTCGACCAATTTCATAAATTTCACGATATTCAAAATTACGTTTGTGCAATTCCTGATCCAACTTTAGACCAAGACGGCAATTTCAAAATTAGCAGACTCGTTATAAACAGCATCTGGGACGCTATTAATAATTTGTAATACTAATAATAGTATTTTAGATATATATCTTAATCATAATCTCGTTAGTTATTGTTCTAGGAATACTACTTAAGACAACCAAAAATTAATCATAAACATGGTATGCTACTCATTGTACAACATCCACGTGTACGTAATCCACGTGATCCGTACGTAATCCACGTGATCCATACGTAATCCACGTGATCCGTGCGTAATTCACGTAATCCACGAAATCATAATCCAGGTGTACGCGATTTTACCCTAGTGAATTACCCCTCGCGTCAACCAGCAGCAAGAAAGGCGAGGAAGTCACTGAGTATTGGGAATGGAAAGA